ACCCAAACAGACATGACATACACATCTCCTGGTGAACAGGTAAGTCTTTTGACAATGCCCTTTGCCTTAGTTTTAAATATGCCTGTTGATAGAGAACTTGACCTTTGACMTGCTTTCACGTTTCTGAGCTCTGACGAGATACCTTTTCACAATGCTTTACTTTTTCAAGGCCCGTGCTGCTTTATTTTTACAAGGCCTGAGGCCTATATCGGGTAAAGGCCCTTTTAGGAATCTCTGAGTAGACATACTTGTTGTACTAATGACTATTGAATAGTACCGATGCAAGAGATTTCCCTGAAGTTGATGACCTGGATGCCCTGTCGGAGAGCGACATACTTGTACTATTGATTATTGATGTAACTCTTCTCTCCCTCTTCTCTGGCTTTTCTCTCCCCTATCTATTTCTGCCTCGCTCTTCTACGATGGTTCGCTACTTTTTTCTGGTTCTTGGTGTGGATTGGTCCGGTCACCGGTGTGTCTGGGTCTGCGGCTACCATGATTTCAATGTTTTTCAATATTTTGGACCGTTTCTCCGTTTTTCAAATGTGTCATCCTTTTTTTTTTTTTTTTTTTTTTTTTTTTTGTTTTTTTTTTTTTTTTTTTTTTTTTTTTTTTTTTTTTTACATAAGTGACAAGGCTCTGATCTATTCGTGGAGAGCAGCATGTGCTGGGAACCGGTCCCAACGTACCTTCTGATAGCATTTAGGAAAGCATTCAGTCACCGGGGCCATTACCCGGCTTTGGCTGAGAAAGGACAGTAAAAGATGAGCCACCCCAACCCACCCCCACCCCCCACCCCTGCTCGAGAACGGGTCCAGCGTCCCATACCACACTCCCAGAATCTGCCTCTTCTTACAGAGCTCTCTCTGACTAAGATAAGACCGGAACCGGGTCCTGAGACCAAAAAATTCTGCTTTCGTGACCCTGCAAGGGGGGAGTTTACCATCCAGAATTGCAAATATAATCCCCCCTGCATGTGGCCGCTATCCCGACCATAAGCGTGCATTTGACTAATAAGTGCAAAATCGTGGATCAGTAGCGACGAGTTCAGTGTTTGAACTTTGTGACTTTGAACAAAACTGTCAATCACAGTTAGCCTGCCAACAGCTGTCCATTCTCCAGCCATCGCATCAGTGAATGAATCCATATATGTACAAAGTCCAAAGAACTACAAAGTAGTACAAACGAATTCAATGTGAAGACGGCTAAACATAACATAGATTCAAAGGCCAAAAGCTTCAACTTCTCAAAGGAATTTCGACGTCTAATTCACAAGAATAGGCAAAGCTTGTGAAGCTTCCTGGAGCCTCAAGATTCAAGATTGACTTCGCTGTTATGGGGAAAGAGCAAACATGATTCAGCACCCCAGACTCCACACCAATAGATGGAGCCCTCAGACTCAAGGACCAGACCTACAAACCTGGCGGCCGCTCCCGCACGGTAGTAGGCTGGTCCGGTCCAACAACTGCACGGGTTTCAAGCCAAAAACAAAAAAGGAAAAGAAAGGCAAGAGATACCTGATGATTGCATACCAGTAAAGTTGAGATGCCCCTCCCCACCTCTCCCCCCCCCCGGGGGCCAAGCCCATGTGGCTGAATGGCACGACCCCCCATCAACTGTTGATAAACAGACTGCAGCTTGAATCCTGGAACAGAAGCAAGAAAACAACGGCCAAATCTTAGCGAAAATTTCCGAAAAAGGAAAAAGGTGGAGATGCCCCTAGAATGCGTTCCTCCCATGATGCTCAAATCAGATGGATATGGATTCTGCAACACTACCGTAGCACTTTCCTGAACATATCTGACAGCAATTATGACTGGACTGGATGTATCTGACTACAACCGCATCCAGAGCTCCCTAAAAAAAAAAAGATTAGCGTGAGTATGCCCTCAGATGGATACGGAACTCACGGACCTGGGTTCCAAATCCACATGACACATCTTCGGAAGTTAGAGAGAAGTATCAGGGAAGTTTCGAGTTCTCTGATCTTTCCTTCCACGCACACCGTGCTCTTCCTATAAGAATAGAAGAGGCCCTTCAACTCCGGACAAAGGGAATCATGCTCTTATCCTTGGTCTGCTGTCGACCATGTCCTGCCATGATTGGAATGTCCCTTTTTTTTTTTCCTTCCCTCCTCTGTCTGCCCCCCAACCCTTGCCTGCCTGTTGCAGGAGAGCTTGCACTTGAGAGGTAATCACTATGAATCGGGGCAAACGAGAAGAGATGGACATTGGACAGCTCAGAAAAAATACACAAAGGCATAGACAAGCTCATGATGGGGTTAGGAACAAAAGTTGGTTCCGTTACAAAAAAATATTAGAATGAAAATGCTTTGAAAAAACTGTCGCTTTTCTGATCGTCTTCTCTATGAACACACCTGCTTTGGGGGCAATGGAAAGTAGCTGGTCCTCACTGGATTGCCGGCAGCGGTTCTTGGTTTACCTTGGCAGCTTGTTGTTGCCTCTGGAATCTTCTTGTTTTGGCCAGGTAGCAAATGCCATGGTATGCTAGGCCGAAGGAGAACGCTCTTGTCAGCCTCGCTTCACCAAAGCCGCTCTTCGACTTTCGCATAGTATAGATGCTCCCCTAGTTGCTGATGGGTGTAAAAAGCCCTTTCCTTCTGCACACCATTTCGCCATTACAGCCTCCGAGTGAGAAGCACGACTGCGATCCGCACCATTTGCATGAGCTCGATCCGGGTTCATTGTGTAAACCTGCATCTGGCACTGAATGGGAACCTCAACAAGAGCTTCACCCCCCCCGCCCTGCCTGCAGACACTCTGTACGCTTTGCCCCCGGGCCCTTCCTTCATCAAGAGCATTGTTCAGCTCCTGATTCCAAGTCTGCTGAATCAGCAGGACAGCTGGCAGTTCTCTAGATCAGTTATCCTTTTCGGCGAGAAACATCGTTTGAGCAGATGGCAGCACTTCGCTTCCCTATTTGTGCCAATTCTCTGGCAATGCGGACAACTTCAGTTCTTAACGCCTCGCATTTGGCATCCGTCATAAGTGATGCAGATCGCACCTCGTCCAAGCTACCTTGAAAACCATGCATCTTCACTTCGATGACGCTGTTAAAACACGTTACATCACCCCAAGCGGACAAGATTTCAGAACTGATTACGCCGATAGATTTACGCCGCTGCGGTTGTTTTTTTCCCTCTTTCGAATCGAACGGATCAGAACAAACAGATACTACACTTGATCTTAGCCAAAAGGCCAAGAAAGGTATCGCATACAGTTATTCATGCTGCAGCTGTAGACTTGTAGTTGTTGACAGCCGTGTCGTTTCTTTGCCTTTGCTACGGGGTTCCTGTCTTCATGACCTTATTTCTTTCTTTCTTTCTTTTCTTTTTTTTCTTTTTTTTGGAGTTCCTCGCTTCATGACCATCTTTCTTTCTTTCTTTCTTTCTTTCTTTCTTTCTTTTCAATGAGAACATCCACGAGATGCCTATTATTGGTGGAGGTAAGAGCATCCTCCAGTAGTAGATGGCTCCCTGTTATAGATGGCTCCAATCTATGACCCCATTTCTTAAGGAGCAGCTCGCATTTGTTCGTGCTGTCAAGTCCCATTCAAATGGAGAAAGCAACATTACTGCCAGTGCCAGGGTGGGGAGCCCAGCACTAGGTGGGGCGGTGTTTGCTGTTCGCTGAAGCGAAAGCTGGCCGCAGAATCAGCACGATGTTGACAAGCCAGAGAAAGACAGGTATGGTACTGACAATTACCCAGACATGGCATCTGAAGGCCTTGTTGGCGCCTCAGCCAATCAAGGAGCGAATGGGGTGGGTGAGCACGGCGTCTGGGTCACAGCAATCTCGAAGGAAGAGACTCAAGAGAGTGACAGGCCCAGCCCATGCGGCTGAATGGTACGCACATGAAACTGTTAGTAAACAGAGCAGGAGTTTTGAATACTATGGAATCAGGTGAATACGATAAAGTTAAGGGGGATCCCATTCCACTTTATAAAAGAGGCAGAGAGAGTGACATAAACACAGAGTGGCATTTGTATTGGACAAGACAACAACTGTAATCAAAATACAAACTCCTCCATGTGACAAAATCATATTCATTCATTGTGTGCAGAAGAGGTTTGAACAAGAAGAAACAGAAAACGAGAGGAAAACAAAGAGCACAGCAGGAAGACTCTAGACACGACATCTGCACAATTAACTTGATGAAAATTACATGAATATATATAATAAATAAAACACACAAAAACACACTGTGATTGCTGTGCGCTTGCTGTGCACTTCTGTCCATGTGATTACAGTGTCCATCCATGGCAGACACTGTTCGTGCACATGCCAATTGAACTCAGCCCAACTGTCCACCTCACCAAAGGGCAACGCAAAGCCAAGCCACTCCAAACCAGGTGCATCTGACTCAATGTGAGTGGCTGCAAGGCGGGCCGGAGGCATCATAGGGGTCAGTTATAGCTACCACTGCCCGTCTGTGCAGGGACAGAACGCCACAGAAGTTTCAATGACATTGTCTCCAGAAACAGAAAATGGTCCATCCTCTTCTTGGCGCACAACATCTGGTAGCATATTGCTCCCAGTCAACAATGAAGATATATAACCGAATTCATCCGACTATAGGGTAATGGAGCTCGTATCATGCAATCAATAGTCAAATATGCCATTATTTCATAACAATACCCAAGAGTTATACCTTATCAGTCATGGCCATCAAGGGACACAGACTGTGCATCACATATGGATGAGCCCCTTGAGCTGCTTCAGGTAAGTGGCCCTGAGGTGTTGCTGGAGCTGGAACCATCAGACCATGCATGCAAAACATAGCACTTCATTATTAACCCCTGGGGTCATGTAAGCATCTTCAGGACAGAGAGCTCGCTGCTCGGTTTAATTGTAGCGAATGACGTCCACAAGCTTAAAATGGTCACAACTAAATCAGAGAAGGCACCGGAGAGCAAACAACAACAAAGCATGTAGGTGAGAGGGCACATTAGCGGTATGGCAAGAAGCAGGGTAGCACAGTGAGCAGCAGGCAACAAGGCCGCTAAGCAACAATCAGTGAGGCAACAAGGCATCGCCAACAAGACAAGCACCATTGTGTCCCGATGAGCACAGGGCAACAAGGCAGCAAGGCAGCAAGGCAGCAAGGCACAAGGCAAGCAGCAGTGCAGCTACACTGCAGCACGATGCGCAGCAGGCAACAAGCGAGCAAGGCAGCAAGGCAACAAAGTAATAAGGTAAGAACGCAGCAAGGGCACCAACAATGCAAGCAGCAGTGCGGCAGCAACGCACAAGGCAGCAAGGCAGCAACGCACAAGGCGCACCAACAACGCAAGCAGCAGTGTGGCACGATGAGCAGTAGGCAACAAGGGAGCAAGGCAGCAAGGCAGCAAGGCCACAAGGCAGCAAATACTCAACCAAAAGTACATATAGAACAGACAGACAACATAAGGTAGAAGAAGAACATGCAAACACAAGAGGTAAACCGTAAATGACAAGAGTGTTTCGACGGACTTGCACCGACTCATCAGGAGGCATGATCCCTCGACAGTCTGCAGAATTCCCATTTTGATATTTTGAGTCATGATCTCCTTTAACCTATATTGTAAGTGGACGGCCAACACCACGACATCACAAGCAGCAAGGCAAGGGCGAGGCAAAAAGCCACTGGACAGCAAGCAACAGCAAAGCACATAGGCTGGAGGGCAAGGGGAGGTGCCTGGGTACATCAAATGCACCAGTTGCATCTCACCTGTATCACCTATAGGCTTTAACGCTGTAAGTCGTTGTTTGGTCACCTGTCCCCCAGTGGAGGGGTAATCAACTCACATATGGTCACACCATTCCGGGCAGCCGACTGACAAGGCAAGCCGCAGGGAAGCACGAGCAGCAGCAGCAGGCAACAAGAAAGCAACGGTGCAAGGCAGCAGGGCACAGGGAGCCGCAACCCGGAATCACGGATAGCCAGCCACACGGACTTCACTGTTCATAGAAAAGCTGCATTGCCTTTGGCTTAGCAAGCCAAAGGAAATACAACAGGACGCAGTGGGGAGCTGATTGCACAAGTTTCTGTGCAGCTCCGTCTTCAGCCCATAACGCCCAGTCATTATATCTGTATTTGGGGCACTTTTTTTCAGTCCACATGCAGCGATAATGACCGGGCTTTCCGGTGAAGACGGTAGATACAGCTATTATGCAAATTCCTGAGTTATGCTTCATTCACTGGGCCATCCCACACTCTGGTTTTCTCATGGTTTGTTTTTTACCAAGGTTGAGCACCGCCATGGGAGTTACTGTCGGAACTTAAAACAGGTTAAGAGTCAAAACCAACTCCGTCTAGCTCTTGAGTTATGTCGGCTTTGGGCCTCGCTCCACTGCAGAACATTCTGCACGTATCTGGACAGACAGTGGACCAGATGCATTCGGACTGCTTCAACATTTTGAATGTTTTGGGACCAGCAAGCTGTCCAGATACATTTAGAATGTTGTGTAGTGGAGCGAGGTCCTTTGGAACTGGAAACTGGATAGTGAAATCTCAAAACAGTACGGATTCCATAGTGTTTTTCTTTTTAAGTTTTTTTTTTTTTTTTTGGTTTCCCGGGAGCTCAGAACCTGAGAGCAAACAGATGTACAAGTCCCGCCACGGGCTACATAGTAGTGAAGGGCAAATTCTCAGATTGCAAGTTGCCTTCGTTTCTTATCTTTCATTGGTCTTCAAGCAAGTTTGGCAGGTCCAGACAAGTGGACCTAAGAGAAAAGGTAGATGCAAAGGCAAGCTGCCAGCCAATCCTCCGATATCAGAGCAATCAATGTTGGGCAGGGGTCCTTCGGCCAGACGGAAGGAAGCGTGACGGTGTATATGATGTAATGTTTCATTCTGACTCGACGGTGGAATAGGAACCGGACTGACGCTCCCAAGAACAGATATGGAGCCAGGACCATAAGGAATTGTTAAAAAAAAAAAAAAAAAAAAAGGAATGCGGTAGTTTAGTAGTTTGATTTCCACTTTTCAAATATATAAGGTGACAGGTGCGAGGTTGTGTGCCCTTTTGGCTGACCTCATGTGGTTTGCAGATGATTCAACAACTTGTTCAACCCGCCATTCGATTACAAGTAAACGTCCTTCAATAGCAGACACTCCCTTGTTGACTGTGTCCTTGGCTGCTTTTGCTACAACTTCCAGAGTTCTGTGGATAACACAGCAAAGAACGTGAAAGATGTCAGATCACTTGCTCGCTCCATTTCGCATTTTGCAGCAAAAGCTTCTCCATTTGCATTTTCTATGGTATCCTGTTCCCGACCCCAAGCAATGACACACAGCACCTTCTGTGTGTCTTCTCTGAAAGAAAGAGGAGAAAGAACGTGTCACCGAATGCATCATCCACTTCGTGTGAAGCACCGAGGAGTCGAGGACTGAGATGAGAACAAAAGGGGAAAAACGAATGCCGACAGGACACACTAACAGACTGTGGTAGTATGTTTCTCTCTCTCTCTCTCTCTCTCTCTCTCTCTCTCTCTCTCTCTCTCTCTCTCTCTCTCTCTCTCTCTCTCTCTCTCTC